TTTATTTCGACTCGTTCTTTATGTCTCGCCAATTATCTGCTCTTCTTGCCCTCAAAAATCATATATATATAATGTATGTATGTATGTATGTATGTATGTATGTATGTTTGTTTGTTTGTTTGTTTGTTTGTATGTATGTATATATATATGTATGTATGTATGTATGTATGTATGTATGTATGTATGTATGTATGTATGTATGTATGTATGTATGTATAGTTGTGTGTATGTGAGAGAGAGTTTTTATTTATGTACCCAAAATATGCATGGACGGCGACACAAATCAGCAGACGGCTATCTCTCTCTCTCTTCGTCCATGCATCCACCCTTAACGTGTGTATGAGCCTTGGAGCTTGGGCAAAAAGTGACACACGACTTGAGTTGGAATTGGTCGAGAGAGTTAGAATTTAGGACGTGCCCAGACAGGCTTCTCAGTCTCCTTCTTCGGGAAGCGCCTGACTGGCAGGCTACTTCACTCGCCTGCGATAGACCACACCTCTTCTGGACTCGACTCATCTCCGTAGTGATGAGGTCAAGGGGTTGTGTGGTGCATTGACCGGCCTCGAGGTCGGATCTGGCAAGAGGGCCGTCCGACTCGAGCATGCGAAAGTTGCAGAGTCCCGAAGCTGCGGTCGCTCCGTACCGCACCACAACTCAAGCCTGGCCAAGTCCGTCCCGTCCGTCCGACGCCCGAAGCGACTCGAACACGACGACCGAATTCCCGGGCTCGAGTCTGCCGTTGCGATCGCTCGTCGCCCCTTCGGAGCCACCCGCGAAGTCCGGAGCCGGCAGGCCGGACCGGCGAACAGACTCGACTCTCTCTGCCGGTGTCTCTGTCCAGCGAGTCCGACGTTTCTGCTCGCTCTCGCCAACATCCACGTCGACGTCGACATGGACGCAGCGGGTGACCGCCGAGTCCAGCCGGCCTACCAGTCCTGCTCGAGCTCGGCAGACGGGGACCTCCTCTCCGGCCGAACGGTCCGACAGTCCCGAGGCGGCCGGCAACAGAAGAACACCCTCAGCCCGGGCCGACTCAAAGGACACTCTTTCTGTTGTCTGTCTGCGACAGTCGCCAACGGCAACGGCGAGCCGTCGTGTCGGTCTCGAGCCTTTTCTGCCCACCGGGCCGGCCAGTCAATGTCTGAGCCTCACATTTGGCGGGTGGGCTGAAGCGGACAGTTTAAGTGCGAGTTCGGCGAGTCCGGCCGAGGCCAACTACGCCTGGGCGAGACGAGATGGCGCCGGTACCGTTTCGTCGAAGAAACAGCGCTTCCCGGGCCGTCGGTTCACGCCGTCGCTAGCACAACTGGGCCGCAGTTTCAGCGGTCCCTATACCGCCAAGCACAAGTTTGCAAAGCAGTCGTCCGCGAACCGCAGTCAGGCGAAAGAAGCGATGGTGACCAAGTCGAGTCTGTGAGTGACACCAAGGCCTGGCTTAGGCCAGGCAAAAGCTAAAGGCACCGCGTTCAGGTGATTAAGCCTCATAATTCCAGAAAATTTCACCTACACACGAAGAACATTTGGGTTTCGAAGTGTCTATAAGTGTTAGGCTTACCACTATTTCAAAGGAAACATAGTGATATAAAGGTCACACTAGAAGCCGTCGACTGACGATTAAGTTTACTGGAAAATTCTTGATTACGCTGTAACCGAGGCACTCAATCGCATAAAAAACAAGAAATTATTTATCTATTTACCTATATAGATAAATAGATAGATAGATAGATATATGTCTAGTAATCTATCCCTATAATACTGCCAAAGTTAAAAACATATATATATATATATATAATTAACAGTTTTAGTGTTAATTTCATCTCATACATATGACTTCTTTCCATTTTTGACCTGTAATTATGAGCCAAAAAGAAAGTCAAACAAGATTCCGGTGAAAAGATTTATCACTTATATCTGTCGATGATAATGTTAAATTCCCTTTTGAAAGTGGTTTTAATTTTGCACTCTTCCATCAAAACGATGAGGCTGTGAATATCCAAGATATATTTTCCTGATAGTTCAATATTCCCACAATTATATTGAATTTTACATTGCCTGGCTTTATCCAAAAGTTGTTCTCATCCAGGGTGGACTGAAGTTTTGGCCTTGCATAGGTCTTAGCGACATCCCCAGCGAAATTCGAACCATGACAATGCAGCATGTGATCTCGACTCGTTAACCTCTAAGCCAGATTGCCACAAGTGCACATCCCATATCACATTTTTTGGTAGGATTGTCGATGAGGCAACGTTCTAATTGCCATAACAATCGACTGCATTAACTATTTGTCGTTTTAACAAGTAGGGTTTCTAGATTAACAGTAAATCAGTTATATGATATGTATTCACCCTAGTTGATTTGACACTACTTATAAAAAATAAAAAATAAATGAATATAAAGATGGAAGTTACTTGTTAATTAACAAGTAGGCTGCGATAGAAAGTTATGAATAGTTCGGAAAGTAAAACGATTCCTCAATTAAACCAGGTAATCATCCCAAATATTGTGTTGAGCTGAATATGAGCAAAATTATATCGAAAAAATTATGATCCGGTTAAGTGGCATGGAGGAAGGAAAGCATGAAAGGTCTTCCAAAGTTTAGCAAGAAATGATTACCATTAAAATTGATTGCTTATACTATAGGATACCTGATGCATAGGATTACACGATTCTTATGCAAG